AGCCATTTTAAGCAAAGTGCTTCCATTTTCAGGGGCTCAAAGGTATTTGGACAAAGTGACTGACAAGAAGTTAATTGACCGGGTGCGGTCCATTGCCTCGTTACTTCAAGACAAATGAAGCAGACAAAAGGTCTGGAGTTGATATCAGGTATTGAGTTGGCATTTGGCAGCTGTTCGGCTGGAGCTACCAATATGAAGTCCAAGGAGATCTCAATGCAAGTGAAGGAAGCCATCATTAGGCTGAAAAAACAACATAAATGTATAAGAGAGATAGCAAAAACCTTAGGTGTGGCCAAATCAACAGCTGGGTACATTCTTAAAAAGAAAGAAAGCACTGGTGAGTTCAACAACATCCTCTCTGCTCACATTCAGCCAAATGCTACAAAACTGATAGGACGCCGCTTCACAGTGTAGGTGGATAATGACCCTAAACATACTGCGAAAGCAACTCAAGACTTTTTGAAGGCAAAGAAAAGGAATATTCTTCAATGGCCAAGTCAGTCGCCTGATCCCAACCCAATAGAGCTGCTTTTCACTCACTGAAGACAAGACTGAAGGCACAAAGACCCACAAACAAGCAGCAACTGAAGGTGGCTGCAGTGACGCCTGGCAAAGCATCTCCAGGGAGGAAACTCAGAGGAAACTCAGTGGAAACTTGATGATGTCCATGTGCTCCAGACTTCAGGCAGTCATTGAGTGAAAGGATTTTCATCCAAGTATTAAAATTGTGGTTATATTTACAATTATGTCACTTTGTCCAAATACCTTTGAGCCACTGAAAATGGAGGGACTTTGCTTAGAATGGCTGTAATTCCTAAATGGTAAATGCCATATTTTTGTGAAACGTCTTAAAATAAAGCTGAAAGTCTACACTTCGATCACATCGTTATTGTTTTATTTCAAATCAGTTGTGGTGGAGTATAAAGGCAAAATCACACACAACTCCGTCATTGTCCAAATACTTCTGGACCCAACTGTGTGTGTATATATATATATATATATATATATATATATATATATATATATATGCTTAATATTCAGTATTTATTCATATTGTCATTTTAAGCAACAACACAACCTGATTATATCTGTGTATCTGCTCGAATAAATTAAACTCAATGGTCAGATATTTGTTATATTTTAATAAAACCCTAGAGCATCTTGGCAAATAGAGATGGAGGTGGAGATGCATTAAGCAGGGATGCTTATATCCATGTTCATTACATTATTCAGCAAACTTTAAAATCTCCTACAGGATTGAAGCTCAGTGATGTGTGACTGACATCAATACAGACATATGGGGAAATCTTCCAGCTCATACATACAAGCAGAATTATTCAGTGTTTAATGAACAACCAGGTGGCTAAACAGTCTGGGTGTGACGTAGTCTTGTTTAACAGCAGATTCTGCTCACTGATTCTACCCACCTAATTAGGAAAATCCTTCCAATAAACCTTAATCCTTCTTGTTATCACTGTTGTTTATATTCCACTGGCACTAAAGAGGAGCGAGATGTGAGCTGGAATACAAATAATCCTAAATAATCCAATCAAGCAAACAAATCTAATTATCTCAGATCAATAATCTCTCATCTCTAATTCTTTACAAAGGGGTAATAAATCATTTGACAGTAGACCTGCCACAATTTAGAAATTCTGTCTAACAACTGTCATACATATAATTGCAATTAATAATTCAACTGTATTTTCTGACATTTCCTGATATATACATAGAGCACTAAACAGAAAAAGAACCTGGCACTGCATTACACCCATACTGAACATTCAGTTTCTGTCTTGCCTTTACACTGCAGAAAAGTATAAAGCAATCACTCTAAACAAATACTGATTAAGGACAAAAAATGATGTACAATGATTTGGCTATATCAGTATCCTAACTGTGAAATGAACTTCATTCCTATAAGAACAATTGTGTAATCTTATGATTAATTATAATCATGTCAAATAATAAACCTGATTATCTCAAACACTTGACATTTAAAATGCATCGAAGACCATATCAAATCCCTGCTTCTGTCTTTTACTGTGACCAACTTACTGACAAAAAAAATGAAAGATCAAATAATCATTGTAAATACGATGCAGCGATTAACAAGCGGGGCAGAAAACTAAACTGAGATGACTTGTGCTTTGTGATATGGCGCTTTTATCATGTTGGAAGTAGCCATTATGAGATGGGTAAATTGAGGCCATAAAAGGATGCACGTGATCAGAAACAATAGTCAAATAGGCTGTGACATTCAAACGATGCTCAATTGGTATTAAGGGGACCCATGTTTGCCAAGAAAACATTCCCCACCTCATTACACCACCACCTCCACCAGTCTGAACTGTTGACACAAGGCAGGTTGGGTCCATGGATTCATGCTGTTTTCATGCAAATTCTAATCTTACCAACTGTATATTGCAGCAGAAATCAAAATTTATCAGACCAGAAGCCTCATTTATAAAAACAAGGCAGCAAATACTGTGCGCACAAAAAAATCTGATTTTTAAAAACTGCAGTATACACACCTGCATGCTGTTTTTGCTTTATAAAACTTCTTCTACTATCTTCTTGAAAATGTGTGCAGGTTTCCAACCACAAATATCCATAAATGGAGGATGCAAATTACCTCATACATACTATATTTAAATGTGGGGTCCCCCCCTTCGTTGCTGAGTAAGGTAATGGCGACAATGGTAAAGAGAAAATCAAGAAAATCAAAAAGAATTTGGGGAATAGGAGGTGGAAATTGTGTAGGAGTTTGTTGAAAACTTGACAAATGAATCAAAGGAAATAAAAGGGATCATGTTTGAAATTCCAGTGACATTAATAGACCTTATGCATTGGATCATCAGGGTTTTGGTAAGATGAGACGAGAAGGTGAAGCCCATTCTGCTGTGTCATGTTGTACAGCACAGCGCATGCCTCACAATCTGTCACTTTTTTTCTAGGTGCTGTAGCAGTTTCCTACCTAATGCATCCAGACTGTGCCATCGCCCTTTTAGCAGGCCAGTGCTGAGCTCCACAACTGAACCCACAAGAGAGTGTGCATCATTGTAGTGTCTCTCCTCTGCACTATGTGGGTTAGGGGATTTAAAGGAAAACTGAATGAAATTGCATTCGACAATCCCATTTTTGAGCGTATGCACCATTTAAAATTTTTAGGCCCCAGACGACCTTTTTCCTATTTCAGTTTCCAGTTTCGGTGAGCCTGTTCCCACTGTAGCCTCAGATTCCTGTTCTTGGCTGACAGGAGTGGAACCCGATGTGGTCTTCTTCTCTTGTAGCCCTTCCATCCTTAAGGTTTGAAGTGTTGTGCACATTAAGATGCTTTTCTGCTCACCATGGTTGTAAAGAGTGGTTATTTGATTTACTGTAGCAGAACTGCTGCTCACTGGATCCTTTTCACCATTTTGTGTAACCCTAGAGACCAGTGTATGTGAAAATTAGCAAGAGATCAATAGTTTCAGAAATACTCACACCAGCCTGTCTGAGACCAAATACCATGCCACAGTTAAAGTCACTGAGATCACACTGTTCCCCTTTCGAATGTTTGATGTGAACATTAACTGAAGCTCTTGACCTGCATGATTTTATGCATTGCGTTGCTGCCACATGACTGACTTGCTGGATAATTGCATGAATGCGCAGGCGTACAGGTGTTCCTAATAAAGTGAATATTAGGATATCCACTTTTTTTGAATATTAGTTTCATCAACAGCTGCAAGTTAAAACACTGTCAGGAAATAGAACTGGCAGTTATTATCACAGCAAGTAGAAGTAAAAACAAGTGAGTGAGGACTTCACTCCCAGATCAGCAGTGATGAGGCCATATATCAGAGCAGTCTCTGGGAAAGTGATACATCTCACATCTCTGGAAAACTGAACTGATAACATTATAGCACGGAGCTCATTATAAAGCCTCAACAACATCTCCACTTCCTGAGGTGATTAAGAAGGTACGGGATAGCAGAGACTGATTATGTGCTAACACTGGCCAATCAAGCATGTCCTGACAGGAATGATCACTGTCTGACAAAGCAACATATCAAGTCGCACAAAGAATTACAGGATTTGTGTTACCTAAAATTGATTCAAACTAAATGGATCTCTGCAGCAAGAAAATGGTTGTAAACACAATTTGGAACTAGGTGGCATGGTGGCGCAGCAGGTAGCGTTGTTGCCTCACAGCTCCACGGTTCCTAGTTTGATCCTGAGCACAGGTACTATCTCTGCAGTGTTTTGCCTGTTCTCCCCATATCCCCATATCCACTCTAAATTGCCCCAAGGTTGTGTGAGTGCATGATGCCCTGTGATGAGTGGCATCCGATCCGATCCAGAGTGCATTCTCACTTCACAATCACCATCACCCTGACCAGGATAAAGCAATTACTATAGATAAAGAAATAAATGATGAGTTACTCTGGTTGTGGATTTATTTTCCCAAACTGCTCTGACTTACCAGCGTGCTTAAATTCAAGCCACCAGCTTGACGGGCTCAGCGTGTGTTTTGACAGCTGATTAGGCCTAAGTGCCTAAGTGTTTATCAAATTTATAGTAAAAGATTTTGCACTAATGCCATTATATATAGTATCAGTTTATTACGACTACATGCAATCCATCAGTCATCACATGTGGTTTCTGCTCTTAGCAAAATATTAGACATAATGTGTAAAATATAAATCTGTCTTGGGCAAAAAAAAAGTCCAAATATTTACACATTTATTCAAACCAGTCAAACTAAAAATGTCTGTTTAAATTTTTAACAAATTACTTAACTACTTATAAAACTCTCTGGACACTATGTCTGTTGTTCTTCGTCTTTCGGCTGCTCCCGTTAGGGGTCGCTGCAGCAGATCATTGGTCTGCATATTTGATTTGGCACAGTCTTTATGCCGGATGCCCTTCCTGACGCAACCTTCCCCAATTTTATCCAGGCTTGGGACCGGCACTGGAAGAGCACTGTCTTGTGCAACCCCAGTGGCTGGGGTCGGATACCTGGCCGGGATTCGAACCTGGCCCCGGCGGTGAGAGCGCCGTGGCCTAACCACTAGTCCTCCAGGGACCCATCTCTGCACACTCTGTCTAAAATCAAAAATAAGGCCTGTAACAACACAGTTATATATTGTTGGTATTTTTAAAGATTGGCACCCTTTTTACAAGGGTTTCAGTTAGGAGTAACATATTGTTGCTTCGATATGTTGTTCTCACTTTTAAAAATCCTTTCTGGCCAAAAAAAGAAACTAACCTATCAATTAGCAGCAGAATGATGTTATATCAGCATACTGTGTTTGCACCTGCAGAAATACAGCTCTTTGTCTATCTTCCACTATAATGTAAATATTGCCAACATTTTGTATTTTTATTCCATTCCAAAGGAAGTGAAGAGGAGGAATATAATTGTCTTTTTTGTATTTTTATGGTACAGTGAAATACATGAAAATGTCAGTGATCAAATTGTTCACTGGAGTATGATCATTTCCTGTATACCCATAAGCACATTAGAAGAAAGCCAGCCTCTTTACACTTCTCCTTTTTGTCGGTAGTGTTCTTGTTGGCAAGGTGGATTGAGATTGTGTCAGCTCAGTTGTGTGCAATTTGCAGCGTTCATCTAATTCAAATGAGGGCTTCGGGGCTTGATACAAAACAACCAATGAGGATCAATTCATTCTGGTGTATCAGGGAGCTATTACAAAATGCTTATTTTTTAGAAGCTCAGCAATCGAACCCTGCCAGTGCTCTATTTCCATTGTGTGTTACAAAGGGGTTGGAGGGGTCGGCAGGAGACTCCTACTGCCACAATCAACAGGAGTTTTTTTTTTTTAGTATAGTAGTAAAGTATAGTAGGATAGTAGGTGCTAGAAAATTTGAGCCTGGCACGATGAGGATGGTTTACATGCTGGCATACCATCAGCAAGCCATTAGTGGACAGCCCATTAAACACCACAGTATGCCTTGGTTCAAAGACAGATGTGTGCATAGTACAGGAAGGACATCTACTGGAAGGAGCCATTTTCCAACAAGCAGAACAAAGTCAATTATCTTCACGAACATTATTATCTTATTCTCCAGAAAGCTTTGTAAATAAAAATCTGTTTAAAACAAAGGGGAGCAAAACCACAAAGTAGGTCTGTGCAAATTATACTTCATTTTTTTAAGTTGTACTTTCCTTTGATGAATGGAGTGGTTTATAATTTTGTTCTTGGGGACACTCTATGCTTCGAATGGCAAGCCTCTGCCATGCTTCCAAACTGCATAAAATGCTTAAAACATGTTATAGCCCAGTAAATAAATACCATATATTTAATATCATAATCGGGGTTATTATTTGTAAGCCTTCCATACTTGACAATACTCACAATGTTCATGAGGGTGAGCAGGTAGTTCTGCACATGCTCCTTTCCATGAAAGCGCACCACAGAGTCGTCGACGCCAAGAAGCACCTCGATGTTGTAGTCATCATCTCCGGCATGCCGGCGTCTCCTGGATGTGTGGTTCACTTGTTTGGCAATGTTGTCTAGTGCCTTTGGAACACTGAGTTCTGGCTCTGTGAAAAAAAAAATAAAAAAAAAAATAAAAAAATAAAAAATGATGAGTCACAAAGACTGAATCGTGCTTATTACAAGTTGCTTAAGGAGACAAGTTTCTCTGATTCACCCAGATAAATGAACCTCTCTTTGGAATACAAGTAAGTGGATGGTATCCAAGAATGACAAAAATGAGCCCTGCGAGTGCTCCACATAATTCACCAGTCTATACGGCACTGCCGTTCATGAGCGTGGGCACTAAGGTAAACATCTCGCGTGGCTTGTGGTTTGGGCTTTAACTCTACAGTGTGGGGATTGTGAGGCACATTCCTCTGCTCGTGCATCCCATCATTACATACGCATTCTTGCTCTGCCTGCCTCCCAAAAGAGTAAACACCATTTCTAAGGATCCACTTCAAAGAAGCTCAGGACTTCCCCCTGCACTCGAGGCTCACAGCCTGTGTGTATGCTTTGTGCACGTGTCCCTGCTCAGGCAACCTGGCCCGCTCTGGTTCAGCAACGTGTTCCCTTGGGGGTTTCTCGGCTGCCGCAACAGAGGAGTAAAGATAGCGCACAGACAGAAAAGATGCCCAACCAGCCAGCGCTGGCTTCTAAAAATTAATACTGATGGCAGCTGGCATAGGCAGAGTGCCCGGCGATGGAAATGTACCATACACGTAGCTGGAAGTAGTTGGGTTTCACTGGTGCATCAAAATGATACACTCCCATACACACGCTAGTGATGTTTGGCTCTGCTGTGCAGACTGCACCAGTTCATGAAAAATTTTTCAACATTAAAAATGTAAGGACTTACTAATAAGCTAATATTTTATTTTTGCTTCGCCATGGAGCTTACATTCAAGCTAATTGCTTCCACACAATTTTCATGAATATACAGCATATCTCTTCTGATGCCAAACGAAGAATAAGCTAAATGTTAAATAGGTAAACAGTGTGGGACTGGATTTAATCTTGTTCATGCTGTTTTATTTACCTTTGGAAAATGGGGGCTGATCGGCTTCCCAAACATAAAACCCCAGATTAACAAGCCTCTCTTTGAAGGCCAAAGCTGGTTCTTTTTCCTGCCTAGTAGAATCAGCAACAACTAACAACGTAAAGAGGGAGGTAGAAGATGCCGTATGAGGCAGTTTATGTGGTGCTCTTCAGACACGGCACTGGGAAATACAGGCAGAAGCAGCGGTCTACAGCACCATTCGCTGCTGGAACACTTTACGAGCATGCAAATGCACCATTGTAAATGTAACAAGCTGAGCTGGCAAACTGTAAGCTCCACAGGTTGGAGTGAAACAACAGGGGGTTTTGCTGAATGTACTTATTCAGTGCTGTTGTTACATGAATTAGGTGCATTTTAAAGCTTTTTCTTTTTTCAAACTGGTTGTTGATTCACTAGGCCTAGGCACACATGCTGATCTCCAAAACGTTCGGAAACCTCCACGAGAATCCTGTTAAGACAAACGCAACCACCCAATGAAGATTATTTTACAGAGTCTCATCTACTTACCTAGTTATGTTTCTGACACTCATCTCTGGTATTTAAACACTGTGCCTCGAGAGCTGCCTCTTCATTATCGGAGCTCTCAGGGGACACACCAATCTGAGCTACTTACAGTGGCATTTTCACAGCCAACTCCACAGTTTCAACATAAAGACCAACAAATATATCGGGATCAGTATTTTAAAATCCAATCACACAACGCTTCCTCTTCCTCTGATATTTTCATCATGCCAGAGTCAAATGCTTGACCCATGAGGCTATGGCCACTAAAGCTGTTCAATCAACCTTTATGCATTATTCAGTGTTTTGGTGCTTTTTGAGTTGTCATTTTTCAGAATGGAGGAAAATATGCATGTTTGTCCACAAGCAAAATGTCATAGGGCCATGTCAGTGTTTGTTTATGTTTGTTTATTTGTTTGTTTGTTTATCTGCTGGCTGTCAGCTGAACATCAGTGATTGTGGTGTTGTAATGTAATATATATATCTACAAATTTAATTATTACTCAGTCAACTTGACTTAACTTATGTGCATGCAGTTATAGGCTTGCTTTATTTCTGGAGCTCACCGTATGATTACTCTAAGTATTTATACAGTTAGTTCCAGAATTATTGGCACCCTTGGTAAAAATGGGTAAAGATTCAGGTTGTTACCCAAAATGTATATTTTTTTTATTTAAAATATTTTCTTTGAATAAATTTACTTCCATTAAAGGTTCGATTTCTCTAATATTTTAGGTGTGAGGTTAAACTAATTCATGTCAACCTTTAGTGGGTAAAACCAGGGGTGCCAATAATTTTAGATCAGTGTCATGGATCTTCCAGCAGGGCAATGATCCAAAAGAGGCAACCAAATCCACACATCAGTTACCACAGAATCAATCTTTAGACAAGAGCATCTCAGATCTCCGACCTACACTCCACTGAAAACGGTGAGGTGAAGTGAAGTGGAGAATCCCCAAGAGACGTCCTAGGACTCCGGAGGAATTCTGTATTGAGGAGTGATCTCAGATTATTTGCTCTGCATTCTCAAATCTCATCAAAGCATTATACTGGCAAAGTGAGGTTGGGCAAATGCAAGGTTTTTTTAAATCAAAGTCTTAGAATACATTTACTTCCATTAAAGCTTAGATTCCTCTTAAATATTCAGTGTGAGATTAAGTTAATTAACCACAAAGACATTTTTTCATAACCCTTTTTACCCATCTTTATCAAGGACATCATTTCTGGAGCAAACGGTCTTTAGCACATAAAATGTGTGCATATGATCATCATGTGAGAGATAAAAACATACAACACATGAAAATACTGAGGTAAACATGCAGACGGATCATATCTGAAATAGCGCCATGAAGTGAACTGGCAGTCGAGGACACGTCACACTCACTTTGTTCATTTCTCTAAGGTGCTGACAGGACACTTGGTGTCCTTTTTTCAAATGCCACTCAAGCTGTCAGCGACGTGACAGCTGAATCTCCGTAAAACCCGAGGGCATGACTTTGTGGAGTCGAGAGATGAGAAAGGTAAAACCATCCTCCTGCAGTTTTGTTTATGTTTTATAAAGTGGAGTCATTAGATTTGGCTGTCTGAGGCCAACCTGGCAGCCAGCTCCAAAACCAAAAGTGCATGGAGGTATAATTAATGTACAAGGTACAATTAAAAACACGCTGGGGCCTTCAGTGGAAAGCTTATAAAATTGATTTTCGCATGCTGCCCAAAAAGCATGAGAGTGAGTTCTATGGAGTCTAGAGGATGACAGGCTGTTTCATTTCTGGACAGCAACGCAAACGAAAACATGGTAGCCTGTGCCATCGTTTTTTTGTTTGTTTGTTTGTTTGTTTTTTCTCTTTTGCCCCTGAGCTATTGCAGGGCTCTCACATGGTTGGTAAGACCCCATAATTAGCCAGCTACACACACACACACACACTTCATATTCTCTAGACCCTCCACTTCTCAAAACAAAAACAGATGTGGCCATATTGATGGAAATACAGCGAAGTCTTAATATTGAGGTTTGTCTAAGGC